AAATGTTCGGAAAGTTTGATTGAGTGCATCCGTTTCTGAATATTCTTGAGCTCTCCTGCATCCTCCAGATCATCGACGGGTATACGCATGTATAGCGACTGTGTAGTTTTGCTGCAAACTTACGCTATTTTGTCAAACGGTGTAGCACATAACTTTTCGCAGAATCATTATCTAGTATTTAGGGATGTGACTGTTGTAAATTCTTTCAATTTTGGGCTTGATCTCTCAGTTAATTCGACTATGGCATCATTCCGGGAATTTTCAGTAGGAGCATTCTAGAAATCAGGCATCTGCGAGATCATTCTGTGAATTATGGGCCTTCGGAGGGTGATTGTGTGAATAACCCGTTATTTTAAACTGAAACTTATCGTGATGGGACAAAAATTGAGTTTTTTAATAGAGATCCCTTGGAGAACTTCGTCTTTAGGAAACCGCCACCTCCATTGTGTCGATAGATGCGTTGTGGAAACTTACTACTTGTTGAATATCATCATATAACCTGTTGAGTCTTGTCGTACCGGCCAATTGCCGTATCGGCCAGCCGGGGCACCAAGTGCACTAATTGCCATATCGGCCGGCCAGTTGGGCAAGTAGACTACTTGGCCAGCCGGCCGGAACATATATGTATTAACTGCAATAACATAAACGATTCCCTTAAGTGCTCTCCAATATCTCTTTATATTCCCAATTCCATACTTACACTTCCCAAATCCTCACAACCCCAACTGAATCCGCCAAACGATCCAGTCTCGGCGACCGACAACCACCGCCTCACCAACATCTGCCTACAACAGCACAAGTACTGAACACGCATAATAGAGAGATGATAACACGACTATACCACCTCCTCACGGCCGCCGCAACCTAGCAAGACTCGGATCCCCCATCGCCCCAAATTGCCCGAAACCCTTGCGCATCACCGGCTCCGCCGTCTCGGTTTCAGTCGCCGCCGTCGCTACAGCTGTAGTAGCGGGGGCCTGTCGCGCCTGCAGCCTCCCAAGTGTCGCGGCCGCATTAGCAGCACCAGTACCAGTACCACGTCCCGCACCCCTTCCAGCACCAGCACCAGTACCACCCGCCCTTCCCGTCCCAGAGCCCCTCCCCGCACCCCTCGCCGCCAGGAGGTCCCGCCCCCGCTGTGCCGGCACTGACGGAGTCGGCACGGGGATCGCGGGGGGTTGCGAGCGGCGTGCGGTGCACAGACAATGCGGTTCTTTCCTAAGTCTCGCGATGGCGCTCGTCGGGGTACGGGCGGCGATGGGCAGGCGCCGGGCGGGCGGAGTAACGGTCGACGGTGGGGCGGGGCGGCTGACGATGAACGGCGGGGGCGGGGGCGGAGTGCTGGGGCGCGATTTCGGCGGCGTACTGATCCGTGATTTCGATAAAATGCTGATCTGGGACGCGGTCAGCGTCTGTGTTCCGGCGTGCACGTAGTGTTTTTGCGCTGCGGGGACTGTGAGAACTGTGGGGACGGAGCGGGCGCGGCGGTGGTGTGGGGTGCGTGCTTCCGAGGCGTGGAGGATGGCTAGGATTGCGGCTTTGCCGGCGTCTTTACTGGCGTCGAATGGGCATGAGGGTAGGCTGGTTTCGGTGGGTGCGTCGGGCTTCCAGTCCCAGAGCAGTTTATCGGCGGACCAGTCTTCTGGTGGTGTTTTTGAGGGGGTTGTTGAGGCCATTTCGAGTAGTACTAGGCTTTTGGGGAATCTAGAACTCTGATAACTGCTCGTCTTCTGCTGGGATTTGGTTAGTAGCAGTGCGGAAGTCTTGAGGGCTTATGAAGAGTTGGAAGCTGGAGCTGGTCTGGGCTTTGATGGTTGCTGGAAGATATCGATAGACCATCGCTTGTGGATGGAGAGCATTGTTACCGAGTTTGAATACTATAGCTGGCGATGGGAGTCGAGTTGTGTAAAGCAGAGTGGAAAAGACAAAGGAGCGGATTGGGAGCAAACTCAACGGCGCTGCTTCTGGATGTAGCCCCAACCCACAAAATTCAGTATTCTGCTAGAACTCTTAATTTCTTCTCTTTATCTAGCACAGCTGCAATCCCTTCCCTCATGGGGTACTGGAATTCGACAGTGTAAAGTTGGGTGGTCTGTTGATTCTAGACAATTCCTACACAAACACGACAGTAACCATCAAACCATCAAACCTTCGACTCCCTTCTCTACCCTCCAGAGCTATTATCAAACCCCAATACAATACAACCGAGCAGCTCTAGTCATTCGTTGCGACATAGGCCATTCCATTACAGACGGATTCATGCATTAAAAATACTCCTACTCCTCCTCCTCACTCTCCGCCCAAACTTCATCCTCCCTCCCCGGCAGCGCCTTCGCAAGCCTTCTCAGCCTCTTCCTATCTCCCCCATCCCGACTGCCACCATCACTCGGCCGCGTCCAAACCACCCTCACCCCTCCAGCCCGCAGCTCCAGCGGTGGCAGCTCCCCGCCTGTCGCGAGTCTCCTGGCTACTGTCTTAACATCTAGAAATGCTGTCTGATCGTTGGAATCTTCTTCTTTGCTCTCGGGTGCCAAACTTCCCCACAGTTGCCTATCGCCCGCAGGTGCAGGTGCAGGTGCAGGTGGAGGCGCAGGGGGGTTCGTGTTGCGGTTGCTGCGGTTGGGCTTGAGAATTTCAAGCTGGAAGTACTGCGCAAAGCTCAGCGAAGGCGCGTTGAAGGCTTTGGAAAGGACCTTGAAGAGAAGTGCAAACATTCCTGTGGGCGCGGGGTCGTGCATGGTGTTTGTGAAGAAGGTGTAACAGTGTGAGGGTATGAGGGTGTGGCGGCGGCGGGTAGATGGCGCTTAGGGTTTAGGGTCGCTTGTTGAGTACGGTGGAAGAGTGTGAGAAGAGGTTGGGTTCGTACTGGCCGCTCAGACTGGTGCGTATTTTTGCTGGAGCCGTTCTGTGAGTACTTATGGTACCACAGCCTTGGTATTCTCGTTTGGCTTCTTCCGCGCTCTAAGACTGCGGCAAGCCTGCATGAGTTCCAGTGCTTGAATGTTCGTACTAGGATCCTTTACCCAAATGCCAGGCTAATAGGAGCCGATGGACATATCCAATACTAGATGGCGACGAGCAAACAATCCCACCTTCCAGCCTCTTCGGCCATCCCGCTCAGATCGCACGACAAGCGCGGCCCGCGTACACCAGCATCCGCAAACACTACACCCACCATCACCACCTTCACCACTCACGCCCTTGTCCCTAGCCCCTACGTCCGACCGCAAAACAAAAACAAGTTCACTTTTCTCCCCAAAATGTATCCTGACGAACCGTCACTGCACGAGACGACCGGATGCAAAAGGAAAGGTCCTACCGGGAGTCGAACCCAGGTTGCTGGAATCAAAATCCAGTGTGCTACCACTACACCATAGAACCGGTTGATGGGGGGGCACGTGCGGCGGCGTACAGGATCGGAACGGGGCGGCATGAGGGGTGAGGAGGGGTGTGGGGGGGAGCACGGTGAGCAGGAATGCGTATTGAATCGAAAAAATGTGTATTGTATCGTATGGTAATAACATGTATTGTATCGTATCGTATCAATACAAACCCGTGACTGTAATGTCTCGTTCAATAAGCGAAATATAGTGATTGCAACTACGCAGTTGGCGCAAAACCTCAGTATTGCTCGCAACAAAACTGCGAAGTCGTATTGAACCCTGTTTGTAATGGTATCGATTCGTCACAAACAGATTAATCAGCGTCACAAACGTATCGATACGCATTGCTGACGGTGAGGTGTTGGAGACAGGGTCGATAGGGTGGGTACGGAGTGGATGTGGAGATAGGATAGGTGGGGTTAGTACGGCAACTTGATGTTGATTCGCAAATCGGTCTTTCTAATTCGAGTAACAACGAACTGGACGTCCAGGTTTGCAGGTAGACACAGCGGCGTGCCTGGTTCTCCCGGCTGGCGCAGGCATGTACAGTCTGTCGACATGGGAACATGAATGCGGCGCCACAACCCCGACCGACAATCAGCCAAACTTTGTCACAATCGGACATAAATTATTTGATTAGATCACACAAAAATACTTTGTATACCATCGCTCAGCTTCTGTGGTGTTTTTCATATACGTCACCATGCTGCAGTCAACATTTTGAAGGATGAAGTGTGGCGCGGCGTTCACGTTCCGATGTCGACAGTCAGTAGCATTAATAGCACTCGCGATGGCACTGGAAGTGATCTAGCTATCCAACTAGCAACTTATTAGTCTCCCCAGCTTAACTTCTACATAGACCCGCACCGTATACGCCCTTCCATACAAGACCCAAGCCTTAGAATCTAGTCCCAGCCCTTACAATCCGCATAGTTAAACTCAACTTCCAGCCAGAAACTGAAACCACACGAGTTTTCTTTGAAACAGGACGTATCAATGGTTTTTGGTGAGCAAAGGTTTTCGCCGAGAGTTAGAAGGCGTGTTTTGGAGGGGTTTGATGATTGTGCGGCGGTGGGAGAAACGGGGACGACATGCCGGCCGGCATAAGACGAGAAGTGCAACACTCACGTCCTGGGCCCTAAAACCAGAGCTCACCATTCCCTCCAAGCACCTTAAAGCGACCCTTCCTCTTCCAAAAAAGACGTTCTGCAGATGGAGGTTTACCGCAGTTCACGGCCGGAATGTGTTCAAACTGTGTGTGCGTCGGTGTTGCCAAGACGGCTAAACGAGTGATGTGCGTACACGTTCAGGAACAGTACGCAGGCAGGAATACGATCATTACAAAACGCGTCAGTGGTACCGCATCTTGCAAGTATAATCGCACACCAGCCCACTGTCGCACACGCCTCCCCCACCGCGCTGCACTACAGTTCCTACCTTGGCCATGCACTCTGAGCTGGCCATACTCGTCGTCTGTTGCCAAGCCCCAGCACCACCGTCCACTGTCATCCGAACCTTCCCCGCTCACCTCCCACCCCCGCAAAAAAGATCCGCCCCCACCCCGACCTCGCCAAGTCGAGATTGGAAGGAGGACAAAGGGCAAAAGGACAAAAGGAGAGGTCCTACCGGGACTCGAACCCAGGTTGCTGGAATCAAAATCCAGTGTGCTACCAACTACACCATAGAACCGGATGCATGGTGGGGTAGCGACGGTGCGGCCACGAATTGTCGGACCATGGATACACGCGGAGCATCAATATACGCGAGCATGAGTGGGCCTGGTGGGAGAGGAATGGTGGGGACGCTGGTGAGGCTGGGATTGGGTAGAATGGTGCGGGTAGGATGGTGGATGGATGGTCTATTATTCGTGTATGTGTATGTGTATGTGTATGTGCGTGTTCGTGTCGTGACGTCGTGGAGTATATGTAAACAAATGCGCGCTCCCCCCTCCCCCTCCCGCCCCCTGCCTTCCCTCCCTCCGCCCCCACCTCCTCACCCACTCCCCTCCCCCTCCGGTCGCCTCTCAACCACATCCCCCCCCCTCGCCCACCCCCCCACCTCCTCCGCCACTTGAACCGCCCCCTCCCTCACCGCCTTAAACGGCCTCTCCAACCGTCTCCCCCCCTCCTTCACCGTCCACCTTCCAATCTCCCTCTCCTCGCCACTCCTCCTGCTCACATCCGGCACGGCCCAATAAACCGCCTCCACCGCCTCCTGCGACACCAGCAGCTCATAGTACCCCCGGTAGTACCCCTCCGCCCATTTCAACACCGCGTTCTCCTGCACGAGGCGGCGGGATACGGCGGCGGCCTCGTCGTAGCCGAGCTCGCCGTAGCCGGATGGACTTGTGACGGCCGTGCCGGCGAACTCGACGCCGATCGACCCCGCGCCCGTTGTATGGTTGTACCCCCGCAGCCCCGGCCGTGCCAGGTCGGCGGCCCAGAGCGCGTGGTAGTCGCCTGTCAGCACCACCGGATTCCGCACCGCGTGCCGCTCCAGCGCGCCCAGCACCCTGCGCCTCGCAGCCGGGTAGCCAGACCACCCGTCCAAGTACGCCGCGGAGGACGCAGACGGGATCGCGCTCTCGTTGAGCGCCGAGAACTGCACCTGCTGGCCGATGACGAACCACGTCGCGTTTGACGCTGCCATGAGCTGCTCGAGCCATGCTTCTTGGTCGGCGCCCATCATTGTGCGCTCCTCGTCGAGGTTGGCGGGGGCGGGGACATCCGAGGCGTCGCGCGCCCAGTAGCGCGTGTCGAGCATTGCGAGGTCGATTAGCGTCCCGACGCGGAAGGAGCGCCAGATGCGGGTAGACGGCGCGGCGGCGACGCGGCGGAGCGGCATCCATTCCCAGTATGCGCGCAGCCCGGCGGCCTGGCGCGCGTTCCAGGGCGTGGACTCGAGGATGCGGAGGAGACTCGCGCCGGAGCCGCCGCGCCAGCCGTTGTCCGCGACTTCGTGGTCGTCCCACACCGCGATCCACGGGAAGCTCGCGTGCGACAGCAGCAGGTCCGGGTCGGTACGGTGGATGGCGAGGCGCTGGCGGTAGTCGACGAGCTGGATCGTGTCCTTCAGCGGGCGCGGGATGCGGTCGGGCAGGGTCGTGGGGAAGGGGGTTTCGTAGATGTAGTCCCCTAGGTGGAGTACGAGGTCGACGCTGTCGCGGCGCGCGGACATGCCGTAGGCGTTGAAGTGCCCCGTGACGTAGTTGGAGCAGCTGTAGACTGCGAGGCGGATGGTGGTGTTGGTCATTGGGTCGGAGGGGTGGGGGAGGGTCTTGGTGCGCCCGACGGGGCTGGACGGGCCGTCGCCGGAGCAGGAGGTGAAGCGGTACCAGTAGTGCGTCCATGGCTGTAGCCCGGTGGCTTCGACTTTAACGGTGTAGTCCACCTCCGGCCCCGTCGCCGTGCGCCCCTGCGCCACGAGTGTCGTGAACTCCGCCGTATCGCTCACTTCCCACGCGACGCACGCGCTCGGCTGTGTAGGGCGGTAGAGGTGCGAGTCGGCATCGATGCCGCGGTTGGCGGGGACGGCGCGCGTCCAGAGGATGACGGAGGTGTCGTAGGGGTCGCCGGACGCGACGCCGTGCGTGAAGGTTAGGGGCTGTGAGGAGGAGAGGGAGCGTTTGTGGAGAGACGGCGGTGAGTGGTCGCCCGGGATCGCGAAGTGGGGGTGGTTGGTGGAGGGGGAGAGGTAGGAGAGGTTGGCGAGGGCGGCGGGGAGGAGGAAGAGCGCGAGGGCGCGGGTGGGGTGGGGTATTCGCATGGTGGTGGAGGCGGAGGTGGAGAGGAGAGGAAGCGGAGGGCGAGGGCGAGGGCGAGGGCGATGGGCGCCGACGTCGATTCGGTCGTGCAGGGGCGTTCAACGGCTGGTGCTTGGTCCGGGATTATTAAACATGAGGCGAGCGGATCCAGCCAACGTGAGCCAACGAGGGAGCGAAGCGATAAATAGATGGCCTGATGAACAGAGTCGACAGCGAAAGCGACAAACGTAGAAACCCGGTGAGACGGTGAGAGTGCAGAGTTGTAGGAACCAAGCTACTTCGCCGTTGCTATATGAAGCTTTTTGTTATGCTTCGGAGCGTAGGAATACCGGTGAGCGGAGCGGATCGGCTAATCACCGATTAGCGATGGCGACACAGGGATCTGCAACGAAGGGATCGGCGGGACACGTGTGACGCCGCTGGAGCGCGTTGTAGGATGGATTAGTAAGTGATTAGTAAGGACAAGGAAAAATTTCACGTTTTTATGCTGATGTGGAAGGCTGGATAGGCACTTACTCTGTAGAAGTTCGGATATAGAGCATGAAGGGATTCGTTTACGACTGCCATGAGGCAAGTAAGGTGCGCTGAGAATTTAAGTACTTCTTACTTGGTGTTCATACGGCCAGTGCGGGCCGGGGAAGTTCACGGGCAAACTGTCTTTTACCTCCGTATCGACCAGGGAGTCCCACGATCCGGCGTATGGAAGAAGACGACGGCTGCCAGCAGCTTGATATTGACCGGACTGTTCGGTTACGCGCATAAAAACGGGTTGATTCATGCTATGTCTGTCGAGGGTCGCTAGACGTCAACTTCAAGTTCAACAAGACGTGTAAACGCACGTTTTACCCCCCCGATGTGAGTCCTTCCACCCCAACACAGGCTTATCTACCCTATGATTAAGTCCGTACCGTACGGCCTAAAGCTGCTCAGTCGGAATCTACGAAATTCTCGTGGTACAGACGGAGGTTGTAGAAAACCAAGTCCGTGACAGCCTGAATTAACGAAGTCCGCCAAGAAGCGCCAAGTCGTGCCAAGTCGCAAGAATTTTGTGAAAGATTTTGGACAGATATTGTTCCCCTCTGAGTCACGACTTCTCCATTGAGCCCTATCTAGACATCTATGTAGGTACGCGAGTTTCCTATAACTCCGTATACTTCTGCATATCGATAACCCCGGACATCTACCCTTAACGAGCCATGACGCTGCAACGACTTCTCTGGCTGTACGCGTCGACTCATAGCATCAACTCATGAACATCCCGGCGTCACTCCCGCAACCTGTTCGCCGAACCCAATCCTCCTATCGCCGTCGGCAACCATCCACATCTCACGAGGCGCAGTTTCGGTTTTTGCGCACAAAGGCTTCACATTCGTGACCGCGTGTGGCGACGACGTTTGTAGACTCCGATTTGCTTGACTTCAGTGATCACAGTTTGCTTGACCGTGTGTAAATATCTCCTGAAGGGGCAAGCCAGTGAATACCGTTCGGCGGCCACGAGAGTAGCATTTGAAGTGTCAACTGCACCGACCTCCATCGACCGGCTCCTGCTTCTACCTGCCTCCTGCGTACCACAACACCCGCTTCAGTCGCAGTGGACGTGATTGTAGACCCACGCCCGCATCACACGACATCAACCGGTTCTATGGTGTAGTGGTAGCACACTGGATTTTGATTCCAGCAACCTGGGTTCGACTCCCGGTAGGACCTTGTCTTTTGCTGCCGTTCTGTTTTGCTCCGTTTTGGGCTGTGGAAATGGGCGGATGTGGTGCTGCGGAGGTTCGGGGTTTGGGGTGGGGTGGTGGTGTTGCGTGGAGGTGCGAAGGGCACTGTTGTTTTTGTCGCGTGTGCAAATTCAATGTGAGTGAATTAAACACCGATCGTACCGTCCAAGCAGACGCCTGATGTCACAAGTTTTGTGAAGGCTCTCCAGAATGCAGGAACAGCACTGAGTGGCACATTCAATACACGTAGCATCCATCTAGCAAGATGTCGAATATCTGTCACGTTCCGTCCGGGTCCACGTCGCACGTATTGCAAATCGTCGTCACATCCCCAAAGGTGCCGTGAACCCCGGCTAGGACGCTGTGTGCAAAGACAAGATGGACGGTGAGAGTGTGAACGAAGAGGTGCCCAGAGTAAGCAGAAGAATATGAGCACGACGTACTCAAGCATGCCGTATAAATCGCAACCCTAAATGGCACCCCGTGCAGAAGTCATTCTCCAAAAATGTCCGCACCATCTAGTAAAGCTCTGCCATAACTCGCCTTCCACTCCTATATTATGCTCTGTCGAGCGTGTCTACGGAATATCTTTCTTTCCAAGCGCCGTACCTACTACGCTTCCACCACTGGGAGAGGGCAACTGGAAGTTGCGATAATACACACCGAGCCACAAAGCAGTATATATATTGTGCCGGACTCTATCGGCCCGACCGTAGATCCCGGAACCGGCGCACCCACTTCCGTTGCCGATACCACCATCAGTATCACGGGCACACCGGCTCTCGGACCCTGCCAAGAGGTGAAGACAGCGCGGGTGTGGGATAGATTGCCGCACCTCCTGATGTCAGCGTCAGCGTCAACGTTCAATATACTGCAGAGGCCCGAGCGCCCGGTAAAGAGACGAATAGACTTGAGCGGGAGCGAAAGCGAATGCGGAGATGTGCACAGCTTTTGCAAACTGCTAGAAATAGGACCTAAATGCCGGAGGAGCGCCGATCGGGTTGAATTGGAGCGGTAAACTATATGGGGAATACTAACATGTTATAGCGACAAAATGGGGATATCTACTGTTGATATCAGTCAGGAGTGACGGGAACAGGTAGGCCGTTTAGTTGTGGTTTAAAATCTGGAAGCGCATCTCCACAACGTTCTACCACACAAACCGCGGGCACTCCATCCATCTTCACCCTACGCAACCATTTCAT